CCAGGCACCGAAGCGACATCGATTTATAGCTGCAAAGTTGGTTTTTTTGGTTCATATTGTTAAATTTACCTTTTCCAACTATGAAGCAATACAAATGTCTAGAATTACGATAGGATATACAGCTGCAAAAGCTTAATATTTGGATTTTTATGTATGTGGTATGTCTTTTGCAACTATATATCCACTCATAATTTGAGATATTTGTGATGTTTTTGGTATCAATTTAGCTTTTAGGCGCTGTAAGATAGTTGTTCACTTACGACAAGGTCTCAGTTGGCATTTGATCTCTTGAACCATATGCTCAGGGCAAGATCGGCCACCGTTCCGGGGGAAGACCTGAAATTAAATTTGTTATGGATGGCCAGAAATTAAATTTTTAAGGCTTTTTGGTGGGATGAGGGAGAAACGACTGGCCTCAATTTGTCTGGAACGTTGCCTTTTGCCGGAGCCGCAAGTAGCTGAGCAGTTTCCCCACGGAGTCCATTCGGAGATGACACAATCAACAGGTTCACCTCCATCATCCACTTGATCCACACCGAATTCATTGATCAACTGATGTCCAGGTACTGGAATATTGGAATTTTTTATCTTTTCCTCTATTTGTCTCTCTCATTTTCTCATACTGTTTCGGTTTTAGAAAAATACCGACCGACTTCACCCATTGGTGACTCATAACCCTTCACACAGAATCGTTTGCACTCGTCCTCAGTTTCGAATTGGTTTCGATTGCCCTTGCAGCCGGTATAAATAAAGCGTTCACAACGATTCATCTCGGCGTTATACCAGTATCTGGGGTAGGTACCAGCGCAGAGACCCTCTTGCTTCTCTTCGTGGCAGATCTCTGCAATCCATCCAGGTAAATATTTTACCGAGACAGAACCATTTAGGTTAATATTTTACCGATTTTACTATGATCTATCGATGAAGTAAACGTTTTACCGATTTGGTAAATATTTTACCAATCAGCGTTGAGAATTGGGAAGAGTAAGGTAACCAGCCTTCAGAGTGTGCACTGAGCAGTCGTCTACACGTTTGCAGTTGACAGTTTTCGTTCTCTTGTAGCACAACATGTGAGCAATGCTGCTCGTGTTCGGCATAGAAGAGGAGACGGGTCCTGACACGAACGCCTTCGTCGCAGGACGCTGAACACGGAGACCATTCACTCCAAGTGGTGGCTCGACACAGTGGATCCGGAGTCACCGAACAATCCTCGCCATTATCGCCTTGAATTCGGAGGTACTTTTTTGAGGTTTTGGGAATATTTTTTGGGAATTTGAGAGTATTTTTTGAGGTTTTGGGAATATTTTTGGGAATTTTTGAGCTATATGGGAATTTCGAGAGATAATAATAATAGCAATGATGATAGAGACATACCAACACAGATATCCTTCCTGACCATTTCGACATGAGGACAGGTGACATTATTTGAGTCGGGCTCTTTGAATGTCCTCGATCTGGAGCGTGTACCGAATCCACACGTGACACTACATTCAGTCCAGGGTGCCCAACTGCTTACAGCGCATCGCGAGTTGAAAGCATCCGAATCTGAGTAGATTAATTTTGGGTGATTTTAGACATATTTTTCAAAAAAATTGGGCAACTAACTTTCACATTCGCTGATTTTTGCATTGCAGAATTGTCGTTCGATCATTTGACGATGGCAGTGGAACATTTGGGCCTTGATGGGGAAGACGTAAACACGGGATCGCATCCGGATGCCCTTCCCGCACGTGGCAGAACAAAGAGACCATGGCTCCCACGATGTGACCATACACTCTCCTGATTGGAAGGTAGGTAGTTTTATTATATTGTTTTGTTGTTGTAATAATAATAATGATAGAATAATGAGGGTAGTAATAATAATAAAGATAACATACTTCTGTCTTTATACTCCTCGTCCTCACTAGTATTGGTAGCATTGAATGCGATCTTCTGGTACTCTTCAGTGGACTTGCAATCAGATTTGATCAGTTGCTCCCGCTTGAGGACGAGTCGTGCCAACGGGGCGATTATGTCTGTATCTTCGCTGTAGAACGGCGAGCGGGGGTCGAGTTTGGTGGTAATGGGGTGGATGGGAACACGAGGTTCGGCGGGGTTGTTGGGAGACTGAAATTATTTTTTAAATTATTTTAGTTGAAATTTTTCGTTTTGCGCGTTTTCAGGTCACTTTTAAAGCGTGTGCGCACGTACCATGAACGTCGGTCCATTATCAGTGCCCGCATCGAAGGGTAGCAGCTCAAAAGTACGCTCGGGTACCCAGGTGCAGTCGGGTAGGCAGAGGTTTACCGACGAGATACCTACACACCAGTCGGGTGATGGACCGAACATAGCGGCCAGCGAGGCGAGATGGTGGTACCTGCAACAGACAGTTCGAATTTTAGGTTAGCCTTTTTAAAAATTTTTACGAAAATTCTTATGGAAAACGGAAATTTTTATGAAGAATGAAAATCTTGTTGAGTGTGAGCAGCAGTACTACTAACTTGTTAACTACGAATGAACTGTGTGTACGGCCTTGAACCTCTGGATACCATAGACCTTTGATTTTCATCAGTGTACGAATCTCACTGGCCTGAAATTGATTTAGGTTTTTTTTGTTCGCGTAGGTGAAATTTGGGTAATGGGGGGTGGGATTGAGGTGACCTGAAATTGGAAAAAATTGGGGGGAGGGAGGTTGGAGGTAACATACGTGTTCCTTCATTTCCTGCTCTCCTTTATAGGTGTTACCCCATTCGGCAATTTCCTTCATGCCATCGGTTGCGATCATGCCAAATTTCCACATTGTGTAGTTTGGACTATGGCTTGCGCCTAGCATATCAGTGAAATGTGTTAAATGCTCTACTGAAATTTTATTATTATTATTGTTATATATTGTTATTGTGTTTATTGTTTAGTTTTGCTATTGTTTTAGTGTGATTTTTGTGAATTGTTTTAGAAGGGGCGCGGCATCTGGCACCAAGCCAGATTTGTGCAAGTGGCGATGTGCCACAGTGGTCGGGTGGCGATGTGCCACACTGGTGTGGGTGGCGATGCGCCACATTGGTGTTGGTGGCGATGTGCCAAAGTGGAGGACGGGCAAAAGTGCCAAAACTCACAGGTAGGATAATCCTTTGGATGCGTCTCTTTGGACCACAACC